AGCCGAACCTTTTTTCTCTCCAAAAGCTGGCAGACCCTGCCCAGGGCCTGTTATTGTCTCTCCTGCAGGACCAAAGGTTAGATGGGGCGCTTCCTCATTGTCCTAATAAAGCCTCGGCACCTGGGAGGATGACAGCGGAGAAACCTTTCCTGATATTGTCTGTATGGCGTCATTGTCTAATGAAGCCTGGGAACAAAGTTATTTCCCTGCTATGGGCCAGACCTGCTGCATGATGCCAAATGCAGACGTCTGATTAGGTGTGTTTGCTTTTGTCAGATGATGAGTTGAGGAAATACTCAGAGGCATTATAAAAGCAGAAGAGATTGTCTGCATCTTGAACCAGGGATTTTATCGGTTACTAAAACTAAAACCATTTAAACAAATCATTGCTTTAAATAAAATAAACATTAACTGAAATAAACTATAAAACATATAAGATTTGTTTTTTAATGTTTTTGAAAGATGTCTCACTAAAGCTGCATTTATTTGATAAACAATACAGTAAAACAGTAATATTGTGAAATATTATTACCATTTAAAATAACTGTTTTCTATTTTAATATGTTTTAAAATATAAATTATTCCTGTGATCAAAGCTGAATTTTCAGCATCATTAATCCAGTCTTCAGTCACACGATCCTCCAGAAAACATTCTAATATGCTGATTTGAGCACCAATAATAATTTATAACAATTGAGCGCCAAATCATATAAAATATAGAAAGCTCAAATTATGCAACTTCTTCAGAAGATGAGCGCAATTCTTTTTCAAAAGGATTGCACTAACAATTTTCAATTTTCATTAGAAGATGTTTCTTTGGAAAATTAAAAAATATAGTTCATAATGTTGTTTCATGCATTATTCCTTGTACATTCTTAAAAATGCTGGGTTGTTTCAACCCAACTTTGGGTCAAATTTTTTTATTAAAATTTTAACCCAAAAGTTGGGTTCGTCCATATTTGACCCAAAGTTGGGTTGAAACAACCCAGCATTTTTAAGATTTCTGCACCAACAATGATTCAAAGAAAAAAATTCAAACATCACACAGCAGCTTCTATCTAATTCAAGGTGAAACATTGAACAGATTAAGGAACGGAGAAAAAAATAGCCTTGGCTGCATTTGTGTTGTAATCCATCTTCGTACTTCCCATTTGCTAATATGAAGCAGCACTATGAGCATCCTATGGGAACATTCCCAGAGAATGACCTCATCCCTCTCAGACGGGCAGCGTGCTGAACAAACAGATAGATAATGTGTTTACTCACACAGGGCTCAATTGTGCAATAGACAAGAAAGAAATGATTCTTGACGGAAAACTAACATCTGTTAGCTAAAATCTCAGAGGAGCCACCACACACACACACACACAGGCTGTAGTATTCCTGCATGGGCCGTACGTTCACACACATGCGCATAGAGTGTTATGGCAGGTGCGAGAGGAAGTGTGAGTGTGTTTAAGTTGATCCCAAAGTCTCCGACGGATTTGAGGTCAGAACATCACACGTAATGTTTTGCTACCGGCCAGGGTTTACACTTTTACATTTATTCATTTAGCAGATGCCTTTTCCAAAGCGAAATAAAGAATATAATAAGCGAAGCAGTAACAAAAGAAGTGCTAGCAATATAAAGTTTCAAAACGTTGTCAGGAATAGTACAAGCTAGACCAGGGAGGGATTTAAGAAATAATGAAACAATAGATGTTTTTAAAGAGTTTAGAGAGAGAGAGCGAGAGAGAGAAAGAGACATCCAGAAAGCTTCAGACATTCGAAATATATATATATAATTAGAATTTGTATTTTTATGCATATATAATGTAATAAATATTTTAAATGAAATTATATATATTTTGCATTTATCATATTATTTATTGCATTATTGTATTTTAAATATATCTTATATAATATATAAATATCTAATACAAATGAGTTGATTTATTTTATTTTATGAGGTCTGTATGTTTATTTTTTAAAATGTACCTTTATTGAATCTTTATTTAATATGTCTGAATTTATTCAATTTTAATTTAATTTCATTTCATAGTAAATATAGGTATACAGTATGTCAGGACCAATGTTAGCTGGATACAGACCTCAGGCAGCAGTACAGTATATGCACGTGTAGGTGTACGTGTGTGTGTGTGTGTGTGTGTGTGTGTGTGTGTGCAGTTATTGTTTAAAAATACTACATGCTGAAAGTGGTGTTGGTGTGGTAGGGCAGAGAGGGGGGTGTTCCTTTAGCAGGGCAGCCAAAGTACAATGTCTTCCTCTTGGCTCTCTGTCTCTCTCTTTCTCTCCCTCCCCCTCTTTAAGGTGGGGCTCATTTCCTCTGACACACACACGCACGCACGCACGCACACACACACACACACAGTATTACAGTTGAAGACCATCACCGTCTATATACTGTACAGCAGCGGCCCAGTTCTCTCTTTACTGTCTCTCTAGCACCACAGGATGACAGTAAGGTCAGTATGAGAATAAGAATGTGAAACTGAGGTAGGCATGTTTTAAAGAATCCAAAGGGCATGTTTTTGTTGTATTGTGTAATTTTTACAGGCACTGGGTACAATTTACAGAGGCCCCAAAAAAGTATTTGAACACTTAAGTCCCATATAAATATGTTTGAATGTCAGTGTATTACCTAATAAAATATCTAATTAGCCAGTCAAGACATGGAGAAAGCTAGGTGTTAGCTTTCACATTTTGAAAATGTTGGCAGCCAAATGGTTTCAGGTCCCATTGACTAGTATGGACAAAAATACTGTGGAGGTCAATGGGACCCGAAACTGTTTGGTTACCAACATTCTTCAAAATATCTCAATTGTGTTCCAGGTTTGGAATGATATGGTGGTGAGTAAATGAAGACAGATTTTTCAATTTTGAGGGGATTATCCCTTTTAAAAAATAGCATGTACATATTCCATGCTATTTCGGAAAAAGACATAACCACATAAAAAAGAAAAAAAAAAATTTAAAAAATTTTTTTTTAAAGCATTTAAGCAACTGGACGTTCAGTGAACATTCCCGAAATAACATTTTCATAACTTAATGGGAACATTAACACGACATTATTAGAACATATTTTTGTTAGCTGGGATACTGCTTAATACAGCACATTATACTGTTTTTTAAAATATACAGGTATGTGAAACAATGCATTGCAAAGGCAAGTGATTAGTCACATGACATTTACAGCTCAGGTGATTGGCTCTTACGTGGTCCCTTGAGTAAAGATCTCAAATCATGTACTTTGAGACAATTCTGTGCTATTTAAACAAGTGGGAATGCTAACAACAGACAGCTTTATTATAGACCTGCTTGGGTCATTTGGGTATTTTATGTTTATGGAACATGTGCCTACTGTGCACAGTATACATATTACATAATGGTATTATGGTAGCATGCTATTCTGAACATAGCCAGTGTGTCTTTTTAAGTGAAAGAGAATGTGGAGCATTACAGCTGATGGTCACCAGATGGCAGTAACAGACTGGAAATCCTGTACATGTGCTCTACAGCTAATATATATAAATAATGCTGCTGTCTACCATGAGAGGGACACTGTCAAACAAGCAATGCGATTATGAAGTGATGAGTTTGCCTACTGTAATGATGGAAAGACTCTTAAATGCACTCAAAACTTGAGCCGGATAATGACAATATTGTAGAGTTGCTTTCCAGCAGAATTTGAATTCGTCTCATAACTGAAGAAGTTTGCACCATTGATTCTGTCATTTTTGAAGCTGCTTGAACCAATCTATATTGTATAAAGTGCTATATAAATAAATAAATGGGACAGATTTGTGGTGTTTTGAATTTGCATTGTTTTACTATCACTTTTATTATTATTATTATTAGTAGTAGTAGTAGTAGCAGCAACAGTAGATTAAAGTTAAACAATAAATATATCAAGATTACTACATAGGCAATATGCAAAATTATTATAATAAAATAGACTAAATGGGAAAAAAATAGTTTTGTAAAAACATCATTATAAAAAAAAAAATCAATGGAACAATTGTGGATGTGGCTTCATGTTGCTCAGTGTGTTTTATTACATTTTTTAAATTTATTTAATTTATATTACTTTATCATTTGAATGTTATTTTCCATACCCACAGCTTTATCCGAACAGACCTGCAACCCATTTTCACGACTCACAGTGCTGATGTAAAATTTTCAGCACTATATTTATGGAAGCTTGTTTTCTGCCACGGAATAAAGGAATAAAAAAAGGTAACTGCAACTTTTTATCTCATAATTCAGACTTCTGAGAAATTTTGAGAAAACAAAATCAGAATTGTGAGATATAAACTATTGTAGTAATTACAATTGTAATAAAAGTTTATATCTCCCAATTCTGAGTTTATATCTTACAGTTCAGAGCAAAGTCAGAATTGTAATATATAAACGAAAATAAAAAAGTTTTTTTTTTGTTTTTTTTTGCAGCAAAACAGGTTTCCATTTATGTATTAATATTATAATGATATTTAAGTTACTGGAATGGAACATAAAATGTTTGAGTTCAGGCTTAAAGGGGTCATAGGATGCCCATTTTCCACAAGTTGATATGATTCTTTAGGGTCTTAATGAAACGTCTGTAACATAGTTTGGTTAAAATTTCTCAATGTTAGTGTAAAAAATACCTTTTTTTACCCTGTCAAAAACAGCTCTTTTCAACTTCTCTGTTTGTTATTTTCAAGGAAGAAAGAAAGTCATGTGGGTTTAAAACAACATCAGCAAATGTTAACAGAAATGTATCTTTACTTCATCATTCGAATAAACTCCATTTATAACCAATATGCAACTACACTAATCTTTTATCTAAGAATGCATTGATTGAGTCACAGAAAACCCTCTTCTCTGTCATCTCTGGTGGCCAGTAAAGGAAAGTCTTGCGTGTTCACTGTAAGGTCACTTACAGATGGAGAAAGCCTCGTTCTCTCTCTCTCTTTAAACTGTCAGACAGGAAGAGGGCTGTGATTTGGTGGCCGGCTCTATGAGACGCACTTGTGTTCAGCTGGCCGCTGGAAAGGGAGGGTAGGCGGCAGTTACAAACGCTCCTCTTAACTCACTGACAGCCTCTGGCACTACTCCGAGTGAGAGAGGGCGAGCGAGAGAGAGACATTTCTGAGCATAGAGGGGGAACTTGTTCAGCAGTGGACTTTTATCATGCTGAACTGACCAGCGTCTTCCCTCTGGAATACTCTACCAAACAACTGCTAGGACGAGACTCGCAACACAGGGATCATTTCACTGCAAGACGCCAAAATGCTCAGCTTTGGTGAGTCTTTCATTCCTCTTTGGTGGAAACTTACATGCGACGTTTAGCCACACCTGATTCAGAGCTCAGAAACAGATGTTATTAAGACACAAACACACATAGTTCACCATGTCAGGTTAAATGGCATCAACCAAACACATGCAGAGAAAATAGCATTGCATGCAATCACTGCACGCGTATCCCAGAGCTTGTGCATGTTTCCTTTGATACTGTACTGAACTCCAGACGCTAATGTTTGTCATAATTAGATCGGATGGAGACAGATCCATCAACATGGTCCCAGCTAAACCATGTAGTCTGTCCAATGCATCAGTGGAAGCATAACATGCGCTGATTCATACTGCAGTTATGAGAGTAACACATTTTATTACCATTATAAAAAAGTTGAATGTTGTGTCTCAGAATAATTGAATGCAGGGATTGCTGGGACGGCTTTTACTCATTGCATAATATGGAAATGGTTTGATTAGAAAAGGCTCCGCTTGCTGGGATCAGACAAATGCTTTTGATTAAAACAGGAATTGTTTATACTGTCATAAACAATGACAGAGGTGTTTAAGAGAGAGAGGTAATAAACAAGGGAAACGTGAAAACAAAACAATGGATATCTGCGATCTAGAGTTAAACTAGCTATTCAGTTAGTTTGCAAATATCAGTAATTACCCTAGCAACCACCAAGGGCACCCTAGCAACCAACTAGTAACATCCTAGCAACCACTATTATGTTTCATGTATTTTTCAGTTGTATTGTTTTTGATAAAAGGCCATCTGATCATCAGGGAGGACAGGAACTAACAAACAAACACATTTTCTAAAAGGTTTTCATGGTCATTTATTTATCTAAATGCTACTTCTGTCAAATCATCATTTCACTTCATCATTTCCATGAACCAGTTACTTTTGGTCTATTTTTCTTTTTAAAGTCTTCCAACTAAACAGTATGACGGCTCTGCGCCATTACATCAATGTTTAAGTCAACACATTTCAAACGGGAAACAATTTCATCCTGTGCCACTGAAATTACTGCAAATTATATTCTGCACACAGTTGGAAAATATTGTTGCAAATTACATAAAAATAGAGTGAATATGCCATTAAAACGTTTCACCTACATCTTACCATTTTATGTCAGTTTACTTTTTTTTTAGTACAACATTAGGTGCTAGTTAACTTACACACTGCAAACACAGTTATTCTTGGAGGTAAATGAAATTGCATAGCTCAAAATCACATTAATTTACCAATATTGCAATGTGCAAAACCTTTTTAGCATTTTTTTTTTCTTTTCACTTTTTAAAAACATGCTTGTGATGCTTGCAATGTAGAAAACATATGTTTTTTTTTCAGGATCACATTAAACTATTTACTCTAGTCTTAAAATGTTTACAAAAGTGATAGACAAAGTGAAGATGCTTGTTGTTTTCCTCATCTGTTAGATGCTTTGGATAAAAGCGTCTGCTAAAATAATAAATGTAAATGTAGACAATCAGCCAGAGAGCTGATCTCAGTGATTGCAACAAGTGTTGGCAGATTTGCTACTTTTGCTCTGGCCTAAAGCAGGCAAGCACAAGGCTTATATTTCATCATGAATAACCCAGTACATCTCAGTGATTCATCCAGACATCCATTAAGAAAAACAGAATTAGCTTGTGCAAGACCCCACAAACATACAGGCTCCATTTTAAAACACTGTGAGCTGCTTTGCTGTCTTCTGCCCATACATTTGAAACACTCTACAAAGGCAGGAGCTCAACTCAAAATTGGTTTCAATAGAATTTGGTGTTGGCTAGGGTGTCTATATGTCCTCCTTTTCCCGGACATGTCCTGGTCTGGATTTCTAAATTGTAAAAAAATGTTTTTGCTGAAGATAATGACTGAAAAGTAGTTTAACCAATAGCGTGCAGGCATGAATCGACCAATCATGGGGCATGAGAAGGGAACAGACTGTAGAGAGCACGTCAATAGGAAAACAAAGCCAAAATCTAGACACTTTAAGCATTTCTGGTGTTGAATGAATTCTAAGTATATTTATTATTAAACGTACTGTATCACTATAAGTAGTCAAACAAAGTAGTCACAATAATTTATTCCAAAAATAACAAAAAACACAATAACGGAATACCAAACAACTTATGCAACATTCAAAGTTATGTGATAGCTTAATGTAAGAAAGATTTAATCGCTAAAAATCTTCCTGCTCTGTGAACTGAACAGTCACATTCACATCTCTTTTAAAACGGTCATAGGATGCCCATTTTCCACAAGTTGATATGATTCTTTAGGGTCTTAATGAAAAGTCTGTAACATAGTTTGGTTAAAATTTCTCAATGGTAGTGTAAAAAACACCTTTTTTACCCCTGTCAAAAACAGCTCTTTTGAGATCAAGCCGTTTTTGTAGCATTTTCCTTTAAATGTTAATGAGCTCTGCTGACCCCGCCC